GTCTCTCTCTCTCTTTCTCTCTTTCTCTCTTTCTGTGTTTAACTTTTGGTTTTTTTGTTGGTTTTAGCGATGGAAGAATTCTCAGCGAACCTTTCATGAAATTACCTTCTAAAAATAAATTACCGGATTATTACGACATAATACAAAAACCTTTGGATATAAAGAAAATATTTAACAGGATAGAAGATGGAAAAGTAAGCTGGGTGGGGGGTGGGAAGGGGGGGAAATGGAAAAAAAGGAGGGAAAAGTTTTATTCTGACTCTTGTTGTTGTTTCAGTATTCGGATTTTGACGATTTGGAAAAGGATTTTACTCAAATGTGTAAAAATGCTCAAATATACAACGAAGAACCTTCTCTCATACACGAAGATTCGATCGTCCTTCAATCCGTGTTTACGAACGCGAGACAAAGATTGGAACAGGATGCGGAAACGGATGAGGTTAAAGGTGATGATGAGAGAATCCCGTCGTTCGGATTTTATTATTTTTCGAATTTTATTTATTTTGGATTTTTTAAATTTTCAGACGGAGGAGACGAGGATGGAAATTCCGAATCGGAATCCGTTAGAATGAAAATAAAAATAAAAAGTGGAAAAGGTGGAAGAGGAGGAGAGGGAAGAGGAAGAACGAGAAGGAGGAAAATTCAACCAAAGTACACGGATAGCGATGACGAAGACGAAGATGATTGATTGGAAAGAGGAAAGAAGAAGAAGAAGAAGGAGGAGGAGGAGGAGGTGGTGGAAAAAGAAGAAACAAAAAGGAAGAAGAAAATAGAAAAAAAAAAAAAAATTTTCGGTCGAAATGATTTTCGCAGCGCACAATGCTTGGGAAATTCGAGTTTTTCTTTTCATTTTTTAATCTTTCCTTTTGGTTTTTCATATAGAACGGAAATGACGTCGTCGTTTGCGGGGGGTAGAGAGGATAAAGGAGAAAAAAATGAATTAGGATAAGAGAAATAATAATCTAAAAAAATGCTACTTTTTTAAATTTTTTATTTATTTATTTTAATTTCATGACTCGATGATTAATGTTAGATAATTTTATTATTATTATCACTGTCGATATTGTCATCAATATCATTATTATTATTATTATTACTAATGTTAGTCAAAGTATAAGAAAAACTAAAATAAGTATAAAATGTAATTCAATAGTAATAAGTCAAGTTTTATTTTATTTTATATGAAAACGCGTTTCGAGTTAAAACGAAATATTATTATTATTATTATTATTATTATTATTAAAATTATTGTGATCGTGCAGAAAAAAAAATGATTTGAACGCCCTTTGTTCTTGTATGATTTTATCGTTTTGACTTTTATTGTAAATTTATCCTCTCTCTCTCCCCCAATGAAAAAATGTAAACTTTTTTTTTTTTTCAATTTATTTATTTATTTATTTTAATTTTATTGCATAAAATTTCATGTTGAATAATTATGGGAAAAAAAAGACATAAAAAAATTTAATTTTAATAAAAATATAATTTATTATTGTCAATTAAAATTTATTTATTTTTTTTCATCCTTAATGTACATCCTTATACACAGTATACAAATTTCAATTTTCTACCTAAAAAACATCGAAAATTTTGGCCAAATGTATCAGAAAAACATAATACCCAAGGAGGTATAGAAAAAAATAAAATTCAAACAATGGATTCCCGCTTAAAATAAAATGTGTGCCAGGTAAAATATACAAGGTCGTCCTACTTAGCGTAAACAGTAAACAAGGTCGACCTTGGTTGAAAAATCGTGACCATGAAAATTTTCACAAAATTGAAATGTAAAACCAATGGCCTTGTATTCAAGGTCGACCTACTTTAGAATAAATCGTAAACGTTGGATTTTCGCGGTCATTTTTAACTTAATTTTTAATCGACGAATTTTTTTCCGATGTATCCGTAAAACATAATATCCAAGGAGGTATATCGTATAATAAGATGCTACGTTGGATTCCCGCTTGTAAAAAAATGTGAATTTTATATTAATAATAATTTTAAGGTAAAAATATCGAAAAATTTTACCAAATGTATCAGAAAAATATAAGATACAAGGAGGTAAGGAATAAAATAAAATTCAATATATAAATATAAAAAACTAATTATATTACAATAAACTAAATTCAATAGAACAAAACTTTTGATACATATATATATATATCTTATAACTAAATTGTTAAATAAAATTAATTTTAATAAGTACACATGACGTATACGCATGTCAACTCATTTAATTCTAATTATTATCATTATTATTGACATAAAAAAATAATGTATTTAATTGCTATAAAAAGCTATAAGTTTTATAGATTATAAAAATAAAAAAAAAAATTATTATTATTATTATTTAACGTGCGAAATTTTCGTTTGAAATTTTTTTTTTTTTTTTTGTTAACCCAGGAGAAATGCATTTCGCACTAATCTCCCCGCCCGGTAGCAGGAAGAGTAGGGGGGGACTCAGCCATAGCTAATACCCCACTAAAACTCCTGGATGTGCTTCACTGAATTTTTTCCTGTAAAGTAGGGGGGCGGTCGCAGGAGTATGACCCGCATTTCACCTTCAACCTCCCCCCCCCCCTCAAAGTTGGAATCATCAGATCTGCACTCGCGAGGGCGGAAGCAGATTCCCCCCGTTAACTTTGAAAAAAAAAAAAAAATTATACAATCACAAAATTGATTTGGTATAAATGCATTTTTTTTTATTGTTTTTAAGTTGTTTATAACAATTTCTTAATTTTTTTATTAATTTTTGGCACAAAATTGAATTAAATAATACATTTTTGACGAAAAAAAATAAAATAAAATAATTTTAATAATAATAATAAAAATGTACAATCATTTAAAAAAAAAAAATATGTATACATACATATACACATATATATGTATATAGTTACAACAAGGAGATCTTATGTCTAAAAAATTTAAACAGCATCTGCAGCTGCTGCTGTTGCTGCTGCAGCGGCAACAGCAAGACATTCACATGCTGCTAATAAATTTAATAAATTTTGTTTATAAAAAAAAATGACTTTTTCTTTCACGTTAAAAGTAGTATTATTAGTATTATTTAAAAAAATATAAGAAAAAAAACGGGTTAACCGTCTCACATTCATTATTATTTGTTTTGTTCGTAATCTTTTTCCCTTTTTTATTTGATTTTCGAATAAAATTTTATTTATTAAAAAAAAATATCTACGTAAATTCTAATCTCGTAAAATGTATAAAAAAAATTAATAATAATAATGATAATAAAAATCGAATAAAAAATTAAAATTAAAAAAAAAAATAAAAGTTTGTATATGTATATATATATATATATGTATATGTGTGAGTTTGTGTATAAAAAAAAATAAAAAAAAATTGTTTCCTATCAATCATTTTTGTAAAAGGCGTAAAAAATTATTTATTTTTCTTTTTTTATGGCAGCGATCGATCCATCGATCCATCGATTTTAAGTACTCGATAATAATTAGAGATTATTATAATACTTTAACATTTATTTTATGTAATTTTCATTTTGATTGAGCATTCTGAGCAATGAGCTTGTAAGAGCGAGACAATATAAAATCCTGAGAATGATTACAATGAGATAATAATAATAATAATAATAATTCATTGAGCATTTTAACAAACGAAACGATTTTAAAAATTATATAGAAAAATATATCATATCGTGTTGCAACCTAAAAAATTATAACAACCTTTTCCTCCCTTCGTATCATCATCCGGTTCGTCATTTTTTTCTTCCATTAATTTCAAATAATTATTCGATGGATGATTATTATTATTTTTTTGATTTGATTTTTTTAAACGTTCCGATTTCGAATCTACGACGTCCATTCCTGATGATCCATCCGTACACCCAATCCGGGAAAAAAAAAAAAAAAAAAAAAAAAACAAAAGTTATGCAAAATAAATCAAAAAAAAATTTAAAAAAAAAAATGATTGATGACGTAATGAATCGAACCTTCGTCTTCTTCTCCTCCGTCTCCGTTCCCATAATTCCCGGGACATTCTATGGATCGAATTATTTCTCCATTTAATTTATTTATTGCCAAACCCGGATTAAAATATAAATTTTTATTCCAACCGATTGTTTTCGTTGTTAAAGATTGAAAATTGGAAGTGTAAAAATTATTTGTATTTTTTATTTTCAAATCGACCTGTAATCAAAACAAACAACAACAACAACAACCATAATTACAAAATGAAAAGTCTTTATGTGAAATTACAAATTTTATTTGTTGTTAATTACCTCCACCATCGATTAACATTAAAAAAAAAAAAAAAAAAAAAAAAAAAAAAAAAAGAATGCCCAGCCGGCTTAAAGAAAAAAAAAAAAAAAAAGGAAGAAAATTTTAAAATTATTTATCATCGACATTTTTGTTTTTGTTTTCCTTCTTCTTCTTCTTCTTCTCGTTAATTATTTACCATTTTCATCATGTCTTCCAAATGCGTGTTCCACGAGTGTTCGGAAAAAACATCTATTATTGTTTGTATGAACCAAGTTCCGGTAACTCTATCCCTGTTTGCTTTTCGTCCCGGGGGAACGGGACAAGCAATGAATATATCAGATTGGGATCTTATTTTAGTTTTCCTCGGTGGATCTCGTACTTCTCTACTGTCTTTTTCGATTCTATTCGTCGGAATGTAATTTTCCAAAACGACTCCGGTATCCTCCAAAATACCCCTGGAAAAATAAAAACAATCGTTAAATACATTTTTTTTCATCACTTTTTTTGGGGGGCGGGATTTTTTTCATTCTCGTACCTGCACGCTTGAAAGAAAAACATTTTCGGTTTGTGTATCAAAGCTTTGCAAGCATCGTTGTAAAAATACCCGACGATGTCATTGATGGCAACCGTCAAACCATCGATTCCTACAATTTTACTATTGTCTTCCGTGTCACCCTCTTCACCGTGACTCATGAAGGTGACAACGACAGAATCGCATTCGTTTAATTCGTCCCTCTGTGAAAATCTATTCGTTATTTCTAACATTTCCTAAGCGAAACCAAAAGAAAAGAAGAAGAAGAAGAAAAAAAAACAATCATTATTATTATTTAAATTTATCATTAACATAAAATTAAATGAGGAGAAAAAAAATAAATAAATAAATAAATAAAAAACCTTTTTAGTTTTATTCCTATGCACTTCTACAACGTAAAATAATTGTTCTAATAATAATTTAAGCCTATATTCATCGTTATCAGCGCCGTACCTAGTCTTGTATTCTTCCGAATCGTCAAAATCAATATTGTTAACTATAAGTGCGAAACCTCGAGGATTTGAATCCATTTTATACGTTGGCGGACCTATATCTTTGAGTTCTTTAAAATTCGATGCATATTTTACTTTAACTGGAAGAAATCTTTCGCTAGGCCAAGCTATGACGTTGTCTAAAAAGCCAAAACAAACATGACAGTTTAATCATACTCTAAATAAGAGTTTAAAAGTAAAATAATGCTGCACATATATGAAAAATTAAAAACTTACGAGTAAAAGGAAATTCGCTTCCTTCGAAAACTTCTTCTAAATCTTTCATGTATTCTGGATATTGAGACAGAGTACACACATGTGAGGTATCTAATGTGAAATCGTTGAGATCTTTAACAATGTCTAAATTACTCGTGTTGTTGGATGACACACTCGGATTACTCTCAGTGCTTTTGTGAGAAACAAAATCTTCGTTTTTAATTTTCCTACTATCGATCGATATGCAACCTCCATCTTTTAACAAACATGAATCAGGTGATGTCATCGATGAATTTCCTATTTCAGATTGTTTGAATTTCATTTCTGTTTCTGATAAAATTTGAGCCAATTTCAAGTGACCAGTCGAATTGAGAGAATTTTTTAAATTGGCAAAAGCCAATGGTCCCCTTTTTAATATTTCAGTGTATAAATCCGTCTTTTGTCTTTTTCCATTGTGCGATGGATTCTAAAATCGAAATGAAAAAATTTTTTTAAAACTTTTTATGACTAATAACATTCAATTGAAGTTATCATTGAAAAAATTAATAGACATATAATACACCAAGGCTAATAATCAACTAACAAAACAGGATGTAATAAAGACGACAAAATTGAAAAACTCGAACCATAATTAAAACATTGGGAATAATGCCAAAGAAATTATTAAGCGGTAAGAATAAAAATTGTTGCTCGACAAAAAAAAAAAAATTAAACTTTTATTTAATTACTAGCCAAATAATAATAATAATAAATTTAATTTGTAATTTTGGAATGACTGATATACATAATTACAAAACAGTAAATATTGTTGCATCATTAAAAAAAATTTTTTTATTTATGGGTTTTATCCCCTCGAGTAAAAATTTATTCTTTTGTTTTTAATGATAATTATATAAACACCAAAAAAAAAAAAAAAAAGAAAACAAAACAAAAGTTTTTCGATTATAACTAATACATTTTGACATTTGTCAACGACTTAAATGATAAAAAAAATTTATTTTTTTTTAAAAAAAAAACTTGTTGATGGACAACGTAACGTTATGTCATTAATTTCCTGGATTTTGTGATAAGCGTTTAAGCTTTTATATTAACGCAAATTTAAACTAAAATGATTTTTAAGAAAAAACACGTCATAAAAATCAATTTAAAATGGAAAAACAATTTCCCCCCCCCCCGTTCCTGAAAAATTAAACGTTTTCTTTCTCTAGCTATAGATGAGTCATTCCATAAAAATAATGGAATTTCAAAAGGTCAATACACTTAAACTATTAACCTTGATAATGAATTTATTATTTAATTTATAATTTTGTAAAAAAATAATACAAAAGAATAATAGCGAAAAAGTTAAAAATAAATTCAATTTAATATCGAATAAAAAAATTAAAAAGGGTAAAAACTTTATAAACAAGTTTGAATGAAGGAGTAAAAACAACCGCATATGTAACTCGATAAAAAAAAAAATATTTTTAAAATATACACACCAATATCCTGTTGATCATTCGTTCGTTAAAAACATTTTTATTTAATAAATCCGGCACTAATTTATTAAGATCTGTCTCTTCAACTAAAGTCGATAAATTAGAAAGAATGGCATCCCGATGAATTTTCAACATTTCATACGAACTTATCCACTTGCCAGTGGCACGAGTAAACTTAAAATATTCCATAGAGTATACAAATACTCAGTCGCGAACGCAGCGCTCCTGTGTCGTTTATGTAACTAAAATGTGACGTGGCTCCAGTTAACTCCATATTTATTTAAACAAATCATTTTTCATCAATAAAAGGTTTTTAAAGGGAAAAAAGAACAAAATATTATACTTAATATTAACAATTTTAATATAATATTAAATATATATATATATTTTCTTTTTTTATATACAAAAAAAAAAGTTTTTTAAAAACAATTAAAAAACGATAGCTTATTTATTAATTAATGGCACATACATACATACATACATACACGTTACACGTTCGATTAAAAATTACACATAAATAAAATCTTTTTTTATTTTTACACAATAATTTCCTTATTGATATAACTTTTATATATAATTTTGTTAAATATTTTTAAGTTCGATTACTTCAATAGAATCTAAATTCATTTTTTGTTAAACTTTTTCCTCTCCGGCCATTGGCGGTGTCGAACGAATAAACTGCGAAAAAAAAAGAAAACGATTAAAAAAAAAAGACTATGACGTAACAAAATCGTGATTAAAATGATAATAATTTAAATTAAATAATGAATAAAATTAAAATTTATTTATTTATTTCTAAGCGTTATGATGTCATAATTGTTAATTTGTTAAAGTCCGGCTTTATTTATTTATTTAAAAAAATTTTTTTTTTTCGGGGTGGTGGTGGTGGTGGTGTGCGTGTGGGGAGAGGGTAGAGTTAGTAGATGTTAGTAGATTTATACCTGACGTACCGAAACCGTTGTTGCCGTGCAAGAATTAGCTCTGTTCCTAAAAATGGCAAATTGATATCTTCTTTTTATTTGAGAGATCACCTGTAATAAAAAAATTTTCTTTTTTTTTCCACTTCTTCTTCATTTTTTTAAAAACCTGATATTTTCCCCTATCCCCAGATGCCTCCCCATTAAATGCAAAAAAAAAACGATAGTGATGATAATAATTATTAACATTATTAAATTTCACTTGTAAAAATTTTTATTGATGTTTTAAATAACCGTTAACGATACCCCCCAAAAAAATTTATTATTATTATTATTATTCTTATTATTATTATTAGTATTATTATTTAAATGCCAAACGACCTTTGTGAAAAATTTCGCAGTCGTTTAACAGACAAAAAAAAAAATGATTAAACAAGTTTCGACAAGTCTGGACAAGTCTGTACATGAATGAAATTTAAATCTCTGATTGATAATATTGAAATTCGTACACAGCTTTGATTATTATTATTATTATTTTTTGTTAATTTCATTACGATACAATGAGGGGGGGGGGAGAGGTCGTGAAACGAGAACGGATTTTACCTGAAATATATTATTACCTGCTCACGGTTGTTGTTGTTGTTGTTGCAATAAAATTAACGGAATTAAATTAAAAAAAAAAAAGGGGGGGAGGGGAGAGCAATGGAATCAAAATTAAACCGAATGAATTTTTTGAACCGTAAATTAGGTGTCAACCTTTTTTTTATTTTTCAAAAAGTAAAATCCTTGTCTGGAAAAGATGTGAAAGGATGAAAGGATGAAATGAGTAAGAAAGGAAAAAAAAAGGTAGACAACAGAAAATCTTATATTTAACCCCTTAATTAAAAGGATTTTGAAAACAAGAAGGAAAAAGGAGAGAGAGAGAGAAATTTGTTTGTTTTCTCTCCATTAAGAATAAAATGACATTCTTTAAAAGGTAAAGTTTTAGTTACAAAAACTCCTTTTTCCTCTTCTGCCACGACATACACAGTAAAGTCTTTGTTTCTTTGAAATTTAAAATGTCTGTTCCATAGAATAATAAACAAATGAAAATGAAAGGTTTTGTATATATAGAACGTTCGTTGGAAATGTTTCATGTCATTTTTTTTTCGTTAACTTAATAATAATAATAATAAATCTTTAACGAAAAAAATCGGTGAAAACTTTTTCGAAAACTTTAAAAATTTTAAATTCGACCATTATTAAATAATTAAAAAGATCTTAATAACTTTTTTTGTTTTTTTCGGTAATGGCGACCGAAAAGAAAAGTAGAATAAAAAATCCCTTTAAAATTTTTCCTCTTTATAAGTAGTAGTAGTTGTAGTAGTTTTTAGTTTTAGTTTTGAAAGTATTTAACAATATGGCGGTCGTCGCGGCGGCGACGATGGCGGCTGAGGCGATGACGTCACTGAACGGCCAAACCGCAAATTTTACCGGAGCAAAAAAAAAAAAAAAAATTTTTACTCACCTCGCCATTGCAAAAGCAAAATAATGTGGCGACGCAAAGACCCTGGAAAAAAAATAAATGAAAAAGTTCTAAATGTTAATTAATATTTAAATTTTTTTGGCGCGAAAAATTTATTATTAAAAATAATTATTCTAATTCCACGTTTTTTTTTTTTTTTTTTTTCGTAACGACTTTTTGTACGTAAAAAAAATTAATTAGTTTGTTTGTATTATTAAAAATGGATAAAAATTCATTCGTACCTGGAGACTCGCAGTTATGGCAGATAAAACTTCGTAAAAAAATTCCCATGCGTGACCTTTTTCCGGTCTGAAAGGCGTGAGAAGATAATGTAAACCAAGAAGAGGAACCAAAAGTAACGTTGCTCTAAATGCTTGTAGTAAAGTTCTGGAAGGTCTTTGAGATCCCACGTGGGGTCCTGACACCAAAACAATCAAATCAATAAATCGATCGAAGGGGGGAGGGGAGGGAGGGTGTAAAATTCACTTACCTGCTCTTAATTTGGTCATGAGTACTCGAACGATATTACATAAAAAAACTAAATTTAAAACCATGGATATGAAAACAGGTACGACGAGAACGTTCGTATATTTTGTTTCGTTCATCCAACAACTGAAGAAAAAAAAAAAAAAGAAAAATGAAAATTTGTGGTAATTTTTTAACGGTTAAAAAAAAAAAGAAAGTATAAGGTTACTGTGTTATTTCTTCTCCTTGACCGTTGGCACGTAGGCTCAAATAAACTATGATTGCAATTCCAGGTATGGCCCAACCTAATACAAACAACCATCTCACCAAACGTTCTTCGCTTAAAAATGCATTTACTAATAGGGTGTGAAGGTAAAGACCCTCGCAAAGCATCCAACTGTAATTCGTCATAAGGAAATAATGTAGAACGACGTGGAATATTCTACAGGCGACCTGAAATTTAAAAAAAAAAGGGGGGGTGAAGTTGATAGGGGGTGGTGGTGGTGGGAAAGCCGAATGAAAACTTTTTCCTCCTTCTCCTTCGGGAGGAGTTACATAAAAGGGAGAGAAAAAAAATTTTGTTTTCTTTTTCCTCTCTCTCTCCTCCTCCTCCTTCCCCTTCCTCCCCCACCCCCAACCCCCGCATCCTCACGAAAATTAAATTTGAATAAAAACTTTTTTTTTTTTTGCTGTTGTTGTTGTTTGTTTGTCTGTTTGTTTACAAAAAATCTCGGAAAACCTCGAAGGTAATAAAAAAATGGAATTTTCTTATTCGGTTATTTACTCGCCGACAATAAAATTGAAGGGGGAGAAAGTTTTTTTTTTTGCGGGGGGGGTGATTTTAGAAATCGAAACCTTTTATCAATCGATTTGTTTTGTTTTCCCCAATGTAAGACGATTTTTAAAATTTTTTTTAACTTACTCCATTTTCTTTAATGACGTTCGGATCTCCGAGTATAAATCTATACCAAATAAGCCAAAGAGCGTTATTAACGGCAAAACTAACGAATAAATGTATGTGAAGCGTCGTTCTAGAACACCTGAGAGATCTGTAAATAATAATAATAATTATTATCAACATCTTTGCGAAATAATAAATAAATAAATAATGACGTCATTATTATTACTAAATAATATCCGCGAGGGTGAATGAGAAAAATTAAAAAATTTTCCTTTTGTTTTCGAGTTTTTCCGATAGATGTCTTTGAATGATTATTTATTTTTTTTAATTTTCTCGATTTTCAAAAACTGTTTTAAAATTAAAAAAATTTTCCTTTCTGCTGCTGCTCCTGCTGCTGTTATTTTTGTATTTTTTACTTTCCCGCCATTTCTCTCTCTTTCTCTCTCTCTCTCTCTCTCTCTCTCTCTCTCATTCTTTTATATTATTACTTAAAAAGACTAAAAACGACTCGGGCCATTTGAATAATTAATTTGAAAAACATGTGAATAAAAAATAACTTTCGATCATGTTCTTTTCTTTTTTCCATTTTTTTCCCCCTTTTTTTCTCTCACTCGAACAAGAAAAAAATTTTTAAGGAAAATTTTTTGAAATTTTTATCATTTTCTTTCCGTTTCCTGTTTTCTCTCTCTCTCTATTTTTCTTTTTTTCGTAAAATTTTCTCACACGTCAAAAAATTAAAAAATTTCAATTTGATATATTTTTTTTTTTTACCTGAAAAATTTTTTTCTTTCCCCCCCTCCCTCCCTTCTTATCATTAATTTTCTATTGCTCGAACGATTCTTTCACTCAATCATTCATTCATTCAATCAATCGTTTCAATCCACCGAGCGAGAGAGAGAGAGAGAGAGTGAAATTAATCGTTGTTTGAAAATCAATTAAATTAAGATAAATGAAAAATGATTTTTTTCAAATTTTTTTCTCCCTTTTTTTTCAAATTCGAATTTTTTTTTTCTTTCTAGAACTTTCTTTCATAGTTTCTGCTATTAAACAAAAAACAAACAATAATTTTTGCAAAACCGGAAATAAACGAAAACAACAAAGATCATACCCCTAATAAAATAATTTAAACATTTTATCAAAAAAAAATAATAAAAACAAAAAAATTTTTTACAAAAAATTCATTCGTCGATTGATAAAACAACTGTTGTAAAATTATCATCATTATTATCACAATTAATTATTTAAATAAATAAATAAATAAATAAATTTTCATTGTTTTCTAATAAAATTTCACGCAAAATCCACTACGAAAGAACAACACGAAAAAAAAATTTTTTTTTTTTCAAAAAACGAAAGGATTAAATTTAAAAAAAAAATGAATACACAAACAGACAAACAAACAAACAAACAAACAAACAAACGAACAAACGAAAGAATTGAAAAAAGAGGAATTACTTACTTGAAATACGTGTAAATAGCAAGCGAAGCTAAAAGAGCGATTAACGATATTAAATATCCGATTTCGTAAATTTGATTAATCGTCAACCGTGCCTGAAAGTATAAAAAAAATTTTTTTTTTTTTTTTTACAATTTCCGGGACATTCCCGTGATGTAGATAAATTACCGGATAACATCCTGGATATAATAATAATAATAACGATAATTAATTAGAATTAAAAAAACGATCGCGATCGATATATATATATATTTTGTCCAGGTGTTTATCCAGATACGTATTATTTTTTTTTCAACTCCCTAAAAAAATCCAGGTTTTGTTTCTGGAACACAACAATGTAACAATGATTTTTTGTTGTTGTTGTTGTATTTTTTCAAACGTACTAATCCTTTTTTTTTTTTTTTTCAAATAAACAACCGGAAAAAGAAAAAAAAAGGTCAGGAAAGGAAAAGAGGAAAAAAAACGTGGTTTTTTACGAATGACCGAATTCGTTGGAAAAAGAAAAATAAAATAAATAAAATTTTTTTTCTGGAATTTTCCACGTGGAAATTCCGTTTTTTTTGGGGGGGGGGAAAAATACCTGTTGAGATTTTTCCAAAAAAAAAAAAATCCGCCATTTTGAAATAAAACGAAAGGAAAAATACGGGAAAGGATTCATTTTTATTTTTTTATTTATTTTCGAAAAGAAATTTAAATTAAATTAAATCAAAAAAAAATTATCCAGGAAATACAAAAAATAAATAAATAATTCCAGAATATTCCGTCTCCAGCAGACGATTTGCCAATAAATTCAGAATTCAAAAAATAAATAAATAAATAAATTTGATGGGTAACATCAGTTATTCTTTTCCAATACGTTCCCCCCCTCGGCCATTTTTTTTTTTTTCTCCTCGACAGGGAAAGCAACATAACGAAAAAAAAAAAAATTTTTTTGAATATGTTACCGGATAATTTAAAAAAAAAAGAAAAATTTATCATAAAATATAATGAAATCAAAAAGTCTCGTAATAATAATAATTTTTCATTTTTTTATTATCATCATTATTATCTTATTTCATAAAATGATGATAATCAATTTGATTAATGATAAAAACCTTTTCACGCATTCTTTCGTTCCTTTTATTTTTTTTTTTTGCTGTTGCCGACACTGTTTGAAAAAAAGAAAAAAAAACTCACCGAAAGATCTTCTTGATCTACGCATGTCGTGTAATTACTCCATGGTTTTTGCGTTTCCGGATGTTTGTACCAACTCCCGTTCGAATCGCATTCTTTATGCGCATAAACTATTAAAAAATAAAAAAAAAAATTTATTATTATTATCATTATCAAATTTTCGCAGGTAGTTGTGGTAGTAGCAGTAGATAGTAAAAAAAATTTTAATGTTTTATTATTATTATTATTGTTATAAACAATAAAAAAAAAAAAAATTTTTTTTATTTTCGTGCGAATGTTGTTAAACTATAATATTGTCGTCGGTCGTCGTCGTCGTCGTTTAACAATAAAACACAAAATAAATAAAAACATAAAAAAAAATTTTTTTACCCCAACCCCCACATCTCACTCCCACACCCTTCATTAATTTAACCGATGGAAATAATTTTTTTTTTCTAGAATTTTCCTTAGGAAAAAAATCCTCATCATCATCATGGTCGTCGTCGTAATCGATAAAGCGTTTATAATTTATAGCAAAAAAAAAGAAAATATTTTTTAAAATTTTTATTTCGTCGTGTCCACATACGCACACGCACATCTTGAGATGATGATGATGATGATGATGATGATGATGATAATGATTTATTCGTGTGGGAGAGAGAGAAAAAAAAAATTTTTTTTTTATGTACGCAACATAAAAAAAAAAAACTTTACGGCGGTTTATACGGTGCGTTTATTACGTGGACATAAAAAAAAAGGGTCGGAAAATTTTTTTTTTTTTTTTGTCTTCTGCTAGAAAAAAATAAAAAAGACAAATTGTTATGATAATAATAATAATAATTATTTAAAGGAAAATTTTTGATTTTTTCCCGGTTCAAAATGATTTTCCTCCTATAATGTAGTAGATGCGTTAATGTTATGAAAAAAAAAATGGCGGTGAAAAATATGATTATGGTTATATATAATAATTTAAAAAAAAAAAAAAAAATAACGTAATGAAACGTAACGAGATATCGTTTGTTACGGGAGGAGGGAAAGAGGAGGGGTAAGGAAGCTGCTTGTTAAATTTTTTATAAAGTCGGTTAAATTTATTCTAGAAAAAAAAAAAAATGTCCGACGAATGAAAAAAAAAAAAAAAAAACAAAAGAAAAAATAAATTGTTCAGAAATTTTTTTTTTTGGAAAGAAAAGAAATTATAAAATTATCCTTCTACTCCCCACTCTCACTTCAACTTTCATCCCCCCCCCATTTTTTTAAAACAAAATTTTTTTAAATTTTCCACAACCTTATTAATTTTCTAGTTTGTTTTTTTGTTTTGTTTTGTTTGTTTTGAATTTTTATCTGACGGAAACTTTTCTTTTTTTTCGTGCAAGCGTTGATAAGTTTTTCTTTTTTTTTTTATTCCCTGGAATTTTCTTTTTTTTTTTCCTTTTTTTTGCGTGAGAAATTCGTTCCAGACGTCATGGAGAAGAAAAAAATTAAAATTATCGAAGAATTTTAATGATTTTTTTTCTTTTTTTCCCCCATCAACAGTATCGAAATTTTGTCCAGCTGGAAATATTTTCGAACGATGGAATTAAAAAAAGTATTTAAAGAACATTCCAGAATAAAAATCAAATGACCAAAAAAAAAAATTAATTTGGAGAAAGGGAATTGAAAAAAAAACATAATAAATATTTGTTCCAGTGCAAACCAATTCCAGAACAGAAAAAAAAATTCAATTTTCTTTTATATTTTTGATTTTCTCTCCCTCCTTCCTCCTTTCCCTCCTCCTCTCCCCTTTCAAACCTATCACTAAAACATTTTAAATATTTAAGTTGAACTCTCCAGTCTTTTTTTCTCCAAGAAAAAAAATAGTCATAATAATAATAATTCTAAATTTTTTTCAAACCTGGATAACTTTTCTCTCCCAGTTTTTTCTTTTTTGACATTTGACATTTATATGTTGAATCGGCAAAAAAAACTTAAAATTTCACGTCATCATAAAAACATCTCGTTCAAGATGACGATGATAATAATAATAATTAAAGTTCCATAAAGAAAATTTTTTTTTGGAAAAAAATGAAAAGTTTACTGAATCGAATCGATAAAAATAAAAAACAAAGGAGGAAAAGTTTGAAAAGAAAAGATTTAAAGAAATTTAATAAACCAAAAAAATTTTTTTTTTTGGTTTATTAGTTTAACAACAATAACTGGAACTGGAACTGAAACTGGAACAACTGGAAAAATAATTTTTTTCTTCTGCTAATAATATTTTTTTGAAATTGTAGTTTATTAATATTTTTATTATTTCACTACAACAAACGATTTCTTTTTTTTTTGATTTTTGTCGCTCGACGTTTTTAAAATTTTATTAAATTATTATTATTATTATTTGATAATATACAGCAGAAGAAAAGAAAATTAAATAATGAGAGAGATAATAATAATAATAATAATAATAATAATAAATGAAAAGAAATCACAAAAACAAAAAAAAAAGAAAAAGTTTTTTGACAGGTGTTTTTATTAATATAAACCTTCCGAAATCTTTCGAGCTCGAGTTCGCTTGCCTCCCTCCCTCCGCCCGTTTAGTTTTCCCCTTTCGTACCTTTTCCTTTTTCCGGTTTCCTTTTATTTCCTATCCACCTTTATAACTTTGTTTTATTTTGTTCTTTTTCCTTTCTTTTCCTTCCTTACTTTTTTGTTTTGGCTTAAAAACACATAAACAATAGAAAATATTAAATTTTCTCTATCTTGACTGGAAAATTTTTTCCTTTTTTAAAAATCCTGGAATTGAGTTTAAAATTTTATTTATTAATCTTATTATTATTATTATTATTTTATTCATTTGAGAACATCCGCTTCCAGTTTTCGATGAAGTGTCCTGAAATTTTTCGTGTTAAAATCTCAAAAGTTTATTTATAAAAAAAAATGTATTATTATTATTATTATTATTATTTTTTTTTTTTTTCTTAATACGTGGGTCGTTCCAGCGCGAGTTTTTTTTTTTACGTTTCCTGGAGTTTTTTTTTGCCTTTTGGAGCGTTTATTACGACGACGGCGTCCTTTTTCCAGTCCTGCTCTCCCACGACGTATTGTTATTTTTATTGTTTTTACTCCTCCACGTAACCGCCACAATTTCCTTTTTATCCTTCTCCCCCTCCCCCCGTTACGTCTACGATACTCCCACGGTTTACTGATGATACTCTTAAAAATTAAAAAAAATTTTTTTTTTAAATTTTTAAGAGTATCATATCCGGCTGGAAACGGGTTTTTTTTTTTTTTAAACCGAGTAGGTGTTTGTTCGTAAAACCTACGTTTGTTGATTTTTTATTCAAAATTTAATTATTGAAATCTTCTTTTTTTATACAAATATATGAAAGAATATTTAAAACCGGAAATAATAAACAACGAATCCATTTCCGGTTGCGTTGTAGTGTCACGTTTAAAAAAAGAAAACATTTTTTTAAATAAGCTAAATAATTGAATGACTAAACGGGGGGAAAAAAAAACTTTTAAAAGGGAAAATTCGTGACGTAAACAACATCGACGACGACAAATGTCTTCTGCTGTTTATTTTGAAATCTTACACTTCGTACGAAAAAAAAAAAATAAACAAACAAAGTTAATAAGCAATAATTCATGCATCATCGTCATCGTTCCAGAACGTTTTTCCTTTACTTTTAAAAATGTTTTTCTTTTTTCTTTTTTTGACTTTTAAATTAAACTTTTGGAAAAATTTTACAAGTGAATGTTTTTTGTTTTTTTTTTTTCACGAAACAAAATAAAAAAAAAAACAATAAAATGTTTTTTTTTTCTTCCTTTTTCTTTTCCAGTTTTGTTTTTTCAACTAATCTGGATGAAAAAAAAAGAAAAATCTGTTGAAAATTTAAGAAGATGGAAAAAAAAGGAAAAAAAACTGGAGAAATAAAAAATCACGTGTAGTTATTTTTTATTTTCTATAAACTCTCAAAGAGATAGTTTTGTGATTTTGTTTAAATTTCATTCTGGGAAAAAAAGGAAAATTCAAAATGGCGTCTTTTTGATTTATACGAATGAGCGTAAAAACATTCGCAATAATTTAATTTCCTTTCAGGTTTTTTTTTTTTTTGAAAGAGGGTAGAAAGTTCCTAAATGTTCAACATGAGAAAATGATTAATAATAATAATGATAATAATAATAATAATCTCCACTGGAATATATGTCGTGAATATTGAATGGATGGATTACCCAAGGAGTGGTACAACCACATTCCAAGGTTACGACAGTGGATTCGTGCATGGTTCTGTACGGTCAACAAATCCATACTGACAGAACTGTGCCAGCCAACAAACCGGATATCATCCTGAGAAGCATAATGCGGCGGAAAAATGATGTGTAAGGTGATTGAAGTATCCGTACCGGAAGGAAAAAAACAGTCAAAGAAGCGAGCAAAAGGCTGAAATAACCAGGATGTGGGGAAAGTAAAGACAGAAACGATTCCGGTCATCGTGGAAGCAGCATCACTGGGAGCCATGATGCCACATTCAATAAAAGGAAATTTAAAGAAGATTTTGAAGAACCTAAAAGAAGAAGAAGAAACCATCCAGGAAATGGCGTTAAGTAGGATTGCCGACATCTTTGGAAAATATTATAAAATACCACCAACGAAATTCGAGCATTTATACCTAAGGAATCAGGTAGAAACCTGGAATAAGGACTTAAAAACTCCAAACAAGTACAAAAAATCTTTTCATGTTTCAAAATGAAAATAATAATAATAATTTTCTTTACGAAAAAACAATAAAAATCGAACGAACATAAGTAACAATCGTAACGTAAAATGTTTCAAATTAAAAAAGAAAAAAAAAAATAATAATGTGAGTTAAAGTAACAATAAAATAAATAATTATAAAAACAAAATGTTATTTCTCGCCTAAAGTCATAATAAAAAACAAACAAACAAAAACGTAACAAGTTATTGAAAAAAAAAAAAAAAAAAAAAAAACAAAATAAAAAACATTTTTCTTATAAATTCAACAGGTTCGGCGGCCATTTTTGTTTTTCAAAAAAAAAAAAAAAAAAAATGTTTTTTATCGTTAAAAAAAAAATTTTCTTCGTAAACTTGAATTTATTGTTTAAGTTTTTTTTTTTT